ATCCCACTTACCAGTAAATTGTAGGTGATAAGGGCAAGACCTGCTGCTCCTCCTCCTCCTCCTCCTCCAAAGAAGGGGTAGTAGCGGGTCTCCTCCCCAAAGTACCGGGGGGGGGATTGCCATGAGTAGATGCAGCCTCTCATCGAATTCCTGCGGGCATGTAGCCCTGTATTTATTTTACTATTATTGTGTATTTATTTAATGTAGAGAGCCTGTTTGTTGTAGCGGTTAAGGCACCAGGCTAGAAACTGGGAGACCGTGAGTTCTAGTCCCAGACAGTCCCTCTGTCTTAACCTTAGGAACCTTGCCAAGAAAACTGCAGGGACTTGCCCATGTGGTCACCAGGAGTCAACACTGGCTCAAAGGCACTCAACCCCCCCCCCCCAAACATGTAATGTAGGGGTAAACGCGTCTGCTTTTGAGCCTTATCCTTGCCCTTTGGGGCTGGAGGTTGGAAGAGATGTGAATTAAGTAAACTTTAAAAAAAAGAGGAAAAAGACCACTTTGAAGCTCGATGCGTGCTTAGGGAATCTTTTATGTGCTGTTCCTTCATTGCCAGTGTCATGTAGGAATTAGCATCCTAGAACTGGGCAGACTCAGAGTAGTGTCCCCAAGTGCACAGGATGAACTGGAGCCCGTTGCTCATTTTCAGGGAATTCCACTTCACAGGTTTGTTTTGAAAATTTAAATGGAACCTCTGTGCTGCATTCAATCTCCTGGGAGATAAGCAGGGATATAGATGTCATGTGTAAATGGTGTTCCATCTGAGTCTGATAGAATTTGTTCCACATGTTGTACTTGCGTTTATGTGGACTACAATTCAGTAATTCCAACAGTTATATGGACAAATTTCTAACAAAGTAGCTATGTTAAGCAATTGTACCAACAACAATAGATGTTATTTTGGCATTTCTCTTGTGTCCCTTTTTTTCTTATTGTAAAGTAAGCCAGTGTTAACTGTATGCAGAGAGTCCCTGGGTTAAGAGCACCAAGTCTAAGGACAACCCATAGTTAAGAACAGAGCCTGTTGTGGCAAAATTTTAGTTAAATACACAATGGTTTGAATTCATTACACAATACTACTTATACAGTATTATACAATAGTACTGTTCCGGCTTACATACAAATTCGATTTAAGGACAGACCTTTTGGAACGTAACTCATTCTTAAACTGGGGACTACCTGTATTGAGATGAAGAGAGGGGAATGGAGCTGAGAAAATCACAGCACTAATTTAAAATTAATTGTCATAGTACACACAGGAAATGTCGGAAGTACTGCAGAGATGAATTTCTTTTTGGATGATCCTGAATTTGCTGAAATCATGCAGCAAGTGGAACAAGCCATAGAAAATGAAGTCTTTCCAGAAAGAATCTCCCAAGGTTCCAGCGGAAGCTACTTTGTCAAAGACTCTAAGAGAGTGAGTGCTCTTTTGGTCAGAATTCTTTGTGTGTATATGTTATAATATAAAACACTTGAACAATCTTGTATAAAATTTGGCATGGCCAAGGTGGAGTGTGCATATTTGCACACAGTGATACCAGAATTCTTTCTTTGTAGCTTATCAGAAATGAACAAGTGTGCACTACTTCCTACTGCCATCTCTTGCCAGTAGGACTGCTGAACAGATTTGAGCAAATCCATGGTTTGTTGAGCATTGTGTACATTTGGGTACCCCTCCCTTCTTCCTCTCCTACTACGCAAGAGCCAGGATTTGGCTTATGATTTGTTATTAGGAGAATAACAAACATGCAGTTCTAGTTCATACACAATGCTAAACAGAGCTTGGATGGAGGCAACCTGGACATTTTAGTCATAATTACCTAGAATTTTCCATTTTTGTTGTGTACGTATGGAGAATTATCAGGTCAATATTTCTTCAGTTAATTTTATATAGAAATTTCTACAGACTTCATGAACAATTGTAAGGAAAGTCTCATTTTTGTCCTATAATAATCCTCTTACTTTACAGATAAAGGGTCAAAATACTTCAGACTGAGGATCTGATTTCTGTGTGTATTTCAAAAGTCCATGTTTGTATTCTATATGAAAGTCTATGTGGTTGCTAAGAGTTGATACCAACTTGATGGCACATTTTATGTATAAGTGTGGGCATGCACATACATGTTTCCCAACTTTAGATTCCCAGGTTGTGGTTGATCTTCAGCTGTCATCATAGTTGATCAAAACTGACAAGTGTTTGGGATATATGATTACCTAGAGTACTTGGATTGCAAAAAGTTAATAGAGGCAAGGTTTTAGTCCTTTTGTGGTATAAATTAGAAACATTGTAACCTGAAGTGAACAAGGATGCTAATCCATAAGATCATTGTATCTTTTCCCTGGGAAACAGAATGGTTGTTTTCCTCTGGATCTCCTCTACAGATCCCACTTACCAGTAAATTGTAGGTGATATTTTAGTATAGTATATTTAAAAAACATTTTAGTAATGTTTTTAATTAAGGTTTTATGTATTTATATATTTTATGTTTTTAATATTG